ACGATGAGCACAGGCCACTCGATTCACAACATTACCCTAACCCTAACCCTCACACCAGATACTGACTGGTTTTCGGACCCCCCCAGACCCCCCCAATAAAGCAAAACTGCACGTTTCAGAGTGGTCTTTTATTGTGGCCAGCCTAAGGCACACCTGTGCAATAATCATGCTGTCTAATCAGCATCTTGATATGCCACACCTGTGAGGTGGGATGGATTATCTCGGCAAAGGAGAAGTGCTCACTATCACAGATTTTTTCAGATTTGTGAACAATATTTGAGAGAAATGGTTATTTTGTGTATATAGAAAATGTTTTAGATCTTTTCGTTCATCTCATGAAAAATGGGAGAAAAAACAAAAGTGTTGCGTTTACATTTTTGTTCAGTGTATTTACGAATGACAATAATAGCCTTGAATCTTGTTAGTAGGAAAATGTTGGAACTAATCCTTTAATGGGTGCACTTTATTCACAGTGACAGACCTCAGGTTTCACACTCCTTAATAACGGTTAAATTGAGGTTAAGGTGCGAAACAAGTTGGGGCAATTTGACAGACTCTGGATGTATTTTTATCTCCAACCCTCCAGCCGCTGTCGGTGAACGTCTCCTCCCTGGCTGTGGCAGAAAACATGGCCGACCTGATCGACGGCTACTGTCGGCTGGAGAGGAACTCTGCAAACTCGCTCATTATTAAACCCAGCAAAGGTACACCTGAGTCTAAATGAAGTGAACAACAGCATGCACCATTTCTTTAGTTTACAACCTGGGATACTTTGACTCTTATTGTCCATGAATCAAACAACTGGTTTCAATAATATAATCAAATCAATAAAAAAATGTCATGCTGCTTACACTAGTTGGTGAATCAAATACTGTCATCCAAACCTACCTAAGTGCAACCAGGTGTAAAACGCTGCAATGTTCCTTTCATTTTCTAATCCCAAATATATCTGATCCTTACAGGTAGAGAGGCAAGACATAAATTACCTGACATCCCAAAACGGTGAGCGTCGTGAATCATAATGGCGTGTAATCCGATGAAAGCCTTCATTTTCATATTCATGACTTTCTGCTGGACTGAAAGGTCACGTGATGATTTTGACGAAAGCCTAAAATGTCTTCCTTTCTCTTCCAGTGGCAGTCCCAGTGTATCTAATAAAGGTTTGATATATTCACAGATTATACAGAAACACAAAGAGGTTTTAATTTGAACCAATCATTTAACTATGTTATTATCATGCCAAGCAATCATTGGAAATCCATTTTTTGTCCCATGTTGGGGAAATGTACAATGTTACAGCAAAGGCAAAGTGCAGAAGTTATCTATTGAAGTAGCAGCCGTAGAAAATCGTTGTTTTTCAAGTGTCTGAAGCACATAGTAGATTAAACGTTTCTCTAACGTCAGGTTCGGACATTTATGCTGAGATTCCAGATGGGAAAGAAGACTCTAGCGGTGAGTTTATTTCAAATGTCACCTTGATTTCATCTAAAAAACCTGGTGGTGAGTTAAGAAATGTCACCGTTGTGTTGTTTCTTATTTTCAGAGAAGCACAGCATCTCCAGAGACGACATTGTTTTGGGGCGGATCCTGGGAGAGGGATTCTTCGGAGAGGTTCACGATGGAGTTTATAAAAGCCCCGTGAGTCCGTCTCATCACCCCCAAACACACTGAAGACACAAAGGAAGATGTATCAGTGACTTTACGCTGGATGTTTGCATGTGTGTGTGTGTTTGCAGAGCGGAGAGAGGATCCATGTTGCTGTGAAAACCTGTAAAGACTGTTCTGCTGAAGTGAAGGAGAAGTTTCTCAGTGAAGCTGGTGAGTGATGGTCTGTGTCGGTAATAACAGGGTAAAACTGTTCCTAAACGGCGTCAAATCTGGAGTTTTTCTACCTTGAAAGCATGACTAGAAAACATCCACTACAAAGAAGACCTTTGGGGTAAAATGAAAAAAAGAGAGAATGAGTTTGGCACATTTTGTTCCGATCAAAACATGTTTGTCTGCGACTTCCTGTTGCCTGGTTGTGGCTTTGTGAAAAAAAGCTAAAACTGGAGGCTGTGGTATCCTCATGGTTCAGAACAACAACTCACTGAGTATGGAATGGATAAAGGTGGTTATTCATAGGATGCTATTCAACAAAATACACATTACATGTTAGACACTTTTATCCAAAGCAACTTACATACATTCAGTACTGTGGACAATCCCCACAGGAGCAATTTGGGGTGAAGTGTCTCAGGGACACAACGACATGCTGACTGCAGTGGGACTCGAACTTGCTATCCCCTGATTTAAAGTCCAGCACACTATCCACTGACCCACAGCCTCCCCTGGTATATATGTCACTTTGAAAAGACTGCAAAATCTTAAAGTGGACCTATCATGCTATATTTGAATAATATAGTGTAGGACCATACCTATATAAGGCATATTTATACTTTTTATTTTTCAAAATACCAAACAGATCATGCTTTTTAGCCATTCCTCATTTCGCTCAATTTAACACTGTCTTTGCATCATGGGCTGATTCTGTGAGAACAGCACCATCTACAGGCCTGGCATATGTACTACAGCGTCTCCAGCGCTTTCCAACGGCAATGTCCGTGGCTGTCTCCTCCTGATTGGTGGAGTTGGCCCAATAGCCGTAGCGCCACTTCTGTGACGTCATAGAAGTGTTCAAATCTGGATCAGTCTGTGTCAGATCCGTTGCAGCCCCTTTTTAAGAGATTTGGGTATGGAGGAAAAGAGAGAGGGTTGTGTTTTGACACTTGGTGAGTTCCCTGGAACACCGGGGACACATATTCATGTAGAAAAGACGTACAAAAGTGCATTTTGCATGATAGGTCCCCTTTAATTAACATTGAAAAAAAAGCCCTGATTGATGAACCTCGAGGCTGCCATGTTAGAACAAATGTATTGTCATATCAGAAGTCTAGTTTGTATGAAAGCTCATGAGCTGAAGAATAGGTCTGATATTCACTAGCTCTGTTTCAGTCGAAATAGGAACTGTGATATCTTCGCTAATAAGAGAGTGTGAAGTATTTCTAAAGAGGAAGATGACATTGCTCTTATCGCTGGCACAAGCTCTGCCACACACACACAGGTTAGATTCTGCTTTGTGATACTGGTTTTCCTGTCAAGTATAAATAAAAGCTAGTGGTTAAGCGATGGTAACTCTGGTAAGGGACTTTTAATTCCCCTCTCATGCTTCCTGTTCTGCTAAAACGCAAAGTTCTGTCTCTAATAGTAATACATGTCTGTCTTATTTTGTCTTTTATTTGTTAATGATCCTAGCTGCTTTGTGTGTTGCAGACTTGATGAAAAATCTGGATCATCCCCACATTGTGAGTCTAATCGGAGTCATTGAGGTGGATCCCGTGTGGATCGTCATGGAGCTCCTCGAACACGGAGAGGTCGGTTTCTGTTTTGTTGGATGAAATGAAATG